TTCTTTTTTTTTTTTTTTTTTTCTTTTTTACAAATAGTTTATTGTCAGATTAGTTTCCACATAACACCCAGTGCTCATCCCCACAAGTGCCCTCCTCCATGCCCATCCCCTCTCCCCCCTACATCCATCAGTTCTCAATTTTTGGCGTGACACATTCTTAAGGATGTTGACATTGCCTAGCAGGAGAGTGAGCCTTAGGTTTGAAGGGAGGACTGTAAATTCTAATGGACTGTGAGGGAGCTGCTCCAGATGCAACTATGACTGCAGGGAAAGGCTGCAGAGGGAAATAGAGCCAGGTGGTACTGTGTTGAAATTGAAGGATGAGAAGAGCCATGTTTAACAGCAATAAGAAGCCAGAAGAATCAACAGTGTGCAGTGGTAACCATAACAAGGCTCCCATCCTCAGGTTGCTTTCAGGAAAGTACGGAGGCAGATGTATAACAAAATTTAATGCTCTAGGAATATGGTCTAATGGTCACTTGAGAGGACTTCACAATATATGATGATGTCTTAGAACCATTTTTTAGAGGGCTAATTAGAAAAAGGGAACAAAAAGAGGAAACGAATTCTGCCTAAGTAGGAGAACTTTGTCATTTTTGAAAACCCAATATCTGATAGATGTCTAAAAATTGGCTCTTCACTTACAAGAAGCCCTGATTGGTAGTGTTTGCTGATTTCCATAGTATAAATACTCCAATTATGGTTGGTTTCAGGCTACAACATAGCATTGCTGATAATAGAATGGGGAGCTGTGCACACCTGGCTGTATCCAGCCGGCCTGTATGAACCAGTTCCAGCATACCACAGAATCAAAGTTCCAGAAATAAAACCATTAGAAGATTTTGAGCTGAAGGTAGAGTTGGTTACAAGTAGGGAAAGGGTGAGGGTAAAACTAACGAGCTTTAAATTATTGTGAGGGTCTCCTTTTTGGGGCTGTCATCATGAGTATCTGTGATAACAGGCTTGGTTGGATTGGCTGTCCTTGAAGTACCAGGCAGATGCAGCCTAGAAGTCCACTCTTTCACAAGATGGTTAATACAGTATTGGTGAAATCTCATTTTGGCGTCTTTCAAGAAGGTTTTGCCTATGGCTAATTACTTTTCTAGAGCATCAAACAGAAATGTGGAAGCTCCCAAGTAAATGAGAACTGAGATCATTGACCCTCAGCAGGCAGCATAGTATTGTAAAGAAACACTACAGGTCGTGGAGGCTGGTCAGGGCTGGAATTGAACCCAGGGCACAGCCTCGCTCTGGTGGAACAGCGTCTGCCACCAGGGCACTTGAGTTTTCTAATTTACCAAAAGACAACACATTCAGAAGCTATGACCCTAAGCACACTCTGTTCCTCAGGAATACTTGCCTTAAATTTTTTTTTTCTTTTATGAGTGAGAGAATGTGCACAAGCAGTGGAGGGGGGATAGAGAGAGTGGGAAAAGGGATCTGAAGCAGAGTCCGTGTTGACAGCAGACAGCCCCATGTGGGGCTCGAACTTGTGAATCATGAGATCACCAAAGCCGGAGTTGGATTTTTTTTTTTTAAATGTTTTATTTATTTCTAGGAGAGAGAGACCGCGCGAGCAGGGGAGGGCCAGAGAGAGAGAGGGAGTCACAGACTGAAACAGGCTCCAGGCTCCGAGCTGGCAGTCAGCACAGAGCCCGATGTGGGGCTCGAACCCACGAACCGCGAGATCATGACCTAAGCGAAAGTCGGACTCTTAACCGACTAAACCACCCAGGCGCCCCGCCGGAGTTGGATTTTAACTGACTGAGCCACCCAGGTACCCAAGGAATATTTGCCTTTTGAAGGAGACATCTGGAGTGATGAGAAGAAGTGATTTAATGTGATGGAAATTCGGATACTGAGGTAGCATGGTGACTAAGAGGTTTTTAATCAGGGTGTGTTACCAAAGCTTTTTAAATAATAAATAATATTGATTCCAGTGGTTGATTCTGCAGAATGTCTTCCTTTGGCCTGGTGAACCTAACTAATCAGAAGCTCCAATTGAGTCGTCTATTTTATTTACTCACAAAAGTGAGTAATTACTAATTTTTCTAAATAAAAGGCCAAATATACTCACAAAGTTTTTCCTTCAATTCTTGAAAGGTAGAAATCTAAGTCTGCGTGCTGCAGTTGGTATACTAAAGGTCCATACATTGCAGTGTGGAAACTCAGATCTGAGAATTCTTTTTGTTGACATTTTCAAATTGGATGGTTCTCTCTTGTGGTGACTCTGCTGACATCTCTTCAATTGATCTTTGCTGAGAGAGTTTAATCAATGTTGCCTTGCTGTATGCTTAACCCTAAAGATGTGCCAAATTACATTTGATGTTGTCTTGGCTGGATTACTGAATGTTGCTTTCCTATTTGAGATGTTTTGTTTCTGTAGCAATGAAGTGGACCTCTGTGATCAGCCTTGTGGCCTCTGTGGTCTGCGGCTTTAAAATTGTATAATGGTAATTATGGACTTTGAAAGTGTAGTTCAGTCCTGAATAAAAGATTTGTATAATTGACTAAATACAGTTTTAGGGTAAGTTCCAAATAAGCCCTCTGTCTCCACACCACGTAACAGAAGCGCTTGGTGATCCCAAACAGTTGTTGACCAGTGGTGTACTCCGTGAGGAAACAGTGCAGTGTGTATGGTCAGACAAATTAAGAGAGAAAGACCATCTTTAAGGTGGAATAGTTAAGCTGTCACTTGACTTTATACTGGCATTTGAAGACACCACATTACCTAGTAATCTAATAAGGTTAACAGTTTGGGCTCTAGGAACCAGAAAAAAATTTGCTACTCATGCAGATAGTAGAAATATTAGCATTAAATATTATCTAACAGTGGACATTAGACAAAAATGCCAGTGTCACCTAGAGGCTTCAAGGTGAATTTGGTAGGATTTATTTATAATTTGTTTGAAATACAGTTTGCATTTACAGTGAAAAATTACATTATTACTGAAATGTCCAAAGTAGGTGGCCACTAATTTACATAGTGTTAGCATGGGTGGTGGTAGTTTTATAAAGTCGTGTGAATAGGGTGATGTGAAATCATTAAAAAAAAGTAGTTGCAGATAAAAATTACTATGATACTTGTAATTAATAGTGCCCAAAAAAATGATGTTAAATTTCCCAGTGATAGGTTTTGAAAAGCGAGGGAATGGTGGATTACAAGGGGGGTTGGCAGGCACAATGAAAATATGTGGCCCTGAAGCTTGGTTATTTGTGTCTCTTTGGCTGAAGAATGAGTCTCTTGTATCAGGGATGGTTATACTTTTTAATCAATTCCAGAGCTTGTAGGAAAGTACAGATGGAGGAGGAAGGTAAAAGCCTGCCAAGCAGCAGATTTCCCGGATCAAGTCTCAAGATCAATGGAGTGGCTTCAATGGCAGCCATATTACTCTAAATCCAGCAGACTGCTTGAGGGACCAAGTCTTGTTGGCAATATGGACTGGCATCTGTAGGATTTTGTGCTATAAATTCTTTGTGTATAAATGAGACTTGTTCAGCTGCTCCTATGCTCTCCTCAACTGCTCCTTTCTCTGAGCTTTGCAGAATTTTGAATAGAATACATCCTCTGTCTCTTTATTTAAAAAAGTCCGATTTCTCTGATGAACCTCTTTTTATGTGTTTCTTACTTGAGAGCTCTAGTTTTGTTGATGAAACATGGTCTAAACTCGGGAAACACCTTCTTTCGTGTGCACCCCTAACCCATTCCCCATCCTAACAAAAACTTGGTCAACTGTAAGTTGTGAGGAAAACCACTGTTTAGTCTTTGTCAGAGGAATTGGAAAACCAGCCTATGCTTACCTAGATTCCGTAAGTCACTCTAATTTATTACCATCGCTTGTGAATTAAAAAAAAAAACACATGCAAGCAACTTTTTACAATACAAAGATTGTTCTCACACCTTCTTAATTCTAGGATTCCACTATTATTTAGATGGGGTGATACGACCCCGTGAAACATTGGCTAAGGATAAAATGAGGATTTTTATGCATATAATAAAAGCTGTATTATGTAGGTTGATGAATGTTTTTCATTTCTAAGAAAGGTGATTTCCTGTTGGATGGGGAAGAGGATCCTGCAGTGAGCAGTAAATAATTGAGCAGAATAAAAATCTGTCAGTTTATGATAGTTCATCTGACTGCTGATCACTGTTTGGCCTGTTGACAGGATATCAAACCTTTTCCTCCCTAACTGAAAACAGATAAATAACCTAAGTCCTAAGACATTATGGCAAGGTAGGCATTTTTATTTCTATTTTAGTTTTCTAGATATATGCGGTGTAGTCTTTTTTTTTTTTTTCCTAACCACATCTGTCCCAACGGCATTACATTTTAAAGTATAATGTCCCCTCTCAATCACTGTGACTGCTAACTTTATCATCTGTGAAAGCTTCCCCAGAGATTGGTCTCTTCAGAAGCAGAGATTTTTCTTAACTGGTCTACCAAGATTTTTTTGTTTTTTTTTGATCAGGGGATTAGTCTAAAAACAGAGGGTTTTCCTTTTCTCCCCCCACCCTTACACACTTGCTAATCAGTGTCGATTTTGCTTCACATTTTTTCCTTAACCTTGGCTATTCTTAGAGGTCAGTCAGTGAAAGTATGGAGGCCCCAGGAGGACGTGATGGCCTCTGAGTCCTGTGTAAGCCACTGGGCTATTTACACTATAAAATGATGTGATTAAAAGCCAGTTGTAGAGAAAAATGCTTGCATGATTGTTTTGCACTTCTGCCATTACCTTGCAGAAAAAGAGCACAGCTGGAATGAGTTTTGATGCCTCAAGGCCCTGATTTTTGATAGATTAGAAGGAATCCATCCAGCAGGTTGTATTGATACATTTATTTTTCTCCATGTCTAAGTAGCACAATGGACAGCTGGTTTTGTCAAGGAGAGCAGCACGGATAAAAAGGACTCAAAGGGCATGTTATAGAATGAGTGGGGTAATCATAAGGCAAGTATATTGATGTTACCATGGTACCCTTTGGAAATAATGCCTGCAGTGTTCAATAGTGGACAATAGATGAGTAAGATTTAAGAGCTATCATTTCCATCCCTCTGGACTTGGGAGCATTCTCTACAGGTAGAAGAGAGCCATAAAATGAGACTTTAAAAATAGTCCACATGCATTATGTATGTGACTTCTGATAAGAACAGATACTACACTTGATCTTAGCTAAAAGGCCGAGAAGCGATGTGACTTCTGTAATGTGTGACCTTGAGTTTGCTTACTCCTTACACCTACTCCATCCTCATTGTTTCCACTGAATGTTGTTCAACTTCCTAATTCTCTTCACTTTCATGTCCTTTGCCAATAAGTTAGAGACTCCATTGAGCACAGGAGCCAGGTTCTTTGCTGTTCTTCTCTACCACTTGATGCAATGCTTTGCACCTGTTAGGTATTCTATACAGATTTGTAAAAGAGCATATACAGTAAGGATGCATTTACAATGTTAGGAAGTGATACAGAGAATAAATTCTTAGATTTAGTGATATTTCCATTTGGTGAATGACTGAGTTGTCACATTTGTTCCTTAAATGCAGATCTTTGTCATCTGCACAGTCCTGGCCTTTTGCTCTGTTTTCTCTCCTTAAGATTCCATCTCTCTTATACCTTTGATCAGTCATCTCTGGTCAATGACTCTGTAACCTGTAGGTGAAAGCTTGTCTTTTGGTCTAGTTTCTCCTTGGATTTCTTGTTACCACCTCAAACTCCATCCCGTCCAGAGTACTCACCAGAATGAGCTTTCTCCTTTTGAATTGCATGTTGGCCAACGATTTACCTATTTATCATTTTGGAAATGCTTTGGTTTTGTTCTTTATTACTGTACCCTCTGACTTCAATTCTTTCTCTTTGGTACATTTGTTATCTCCTGGGTTCATCTCTTTCCCCCTCTTGTTGTAAGCCACTCTGTCCAGACATGACCTCAAGCCCTGCTTACTTTGTGGCCTCCTAATTAGCCTTTTTGACCCTGTTCACTTTCTTCTCTAGATGACGGATTGACATACCTTTTCTGCACAAGGCAACGTAGCCTACAGACAGATGAGAATATTGGAGAGGAGCTCTACTCCTCCTTGTGGCCCGATGGAGGGAACCAGGGATCGGGCCACTTCCTCCTAACTGTACTGCACTGGGCAGGGAGGTGTTGGCAAAGGCAAGTAAAAGGTGAAATTTCAGCCACTTACAGTGTGCCTTTCCCTTGATTAGGTGTTTGGTTGTTGATTTTCGACTCCTAAAAAGTTATTTTAGTCAGTCTTTAGTTATTTTTAAAAATGTTTCCATAGTACAATCAGGGCCTGGAGCTTCCTAATCTGCCATCTCACTGATGTCACTCATTGAGTATACTTTTTTTTTTTTTTAACATGTATTTATTTTTGAGAGCAAGAGAAAGAGCACGATTTGGGAAGGGACAGAGAGAGGGAGACAGAGGATCCGAAACAGGCTCTGTGCTGTTAGTGCAAAGTCTGATGCAGGGCTTGATTTCACAGATTGCAAGATCATGATCTGACCTGAAACCAGGAGTCTGACCCTTAACTGACTGACCTGCCCAGGTGCCCCTTGAGTGTAAGTTTTGAAATGGGAGGAAACAATTAAGAATAGAAAAACAGAGTTTGATTTGGAAAGTTTACATTTACGCTCAATTAGGTCTCCACGAACTTGTTTTGTGATGTGTACTAGTAACAGTTTTGGACATTTTTGCCTTGAATAGAAGCTAGGCCCAGAGACCCATTGGAGTACATTTGACAGCTAGGTGAAGTGGGTCTGAAGGAGACCATTTGAAAGAGGGAATGAGATAATTTTGGGGACATCATGGATTCAGAGCTCCAGGTGATACAAGCTATAAGGTATTTGGAAGTGCTATGTGTCTAGTGGTAAGTGGTGTGACCATGGTGATGGAGGAGGAGGCCAGGTATCTTCACTTAGCTTTGTCATATGTGGGGGCCTTAGCAGTCATCTCTGAAGGACACAAGTTCAAGAGATTAAAGAAATAGTGTCAAGTGTGAACTAATAGACCTTGTTCCTGAGTACACATGAGACATTTCTTGGCAACCCCTAGAAATAAATGGCTGAGTGGTATGTGTCAGGGGATACTTATATGGGGCCAGAAATGTGGGATGGTGAGATTCAGAGAAATTCAATTCTCTAGGCTGATGAGGTCTGGGGATTCTGTGTAATAAATAAATTAAAATCTGAAATAGAGATCCTATGAAAATGCGATTTTCAAACCATTTTCCATTGCATGGTATAGGAATAATCCTAGAGTCCGTATACATTGTGTGTGACACATGGCCTCGTGTAGAGTTCCTCAATTGCACGGACTTAGTGTAAGGTTTGAGCTTCGTTCCACTTTGTCATTAGCCATCCTTGGCCAGTAGGAATGCTTAACAATAAGAGCACCAATGCTTTCCTTAGTGCTTGGTGACAAAGCATGTGTAGTTGGCATTACATTTAATTTTCAGAGTGGAGGTTATGCAGAACTCTGATTAGGTGTCTGGAGTTTATTGATCTGGCTTCCTTTTTGCCAGGGAATTCAAGTGAGGGCTCACTTGAACTCGTTAAAGCCTATCACTTGTCAAACATCACTACGTCAAAATGTAGGTTATTTATATCCTGAAAGATGGCCCTGCAACGATGGAAGATGGAAAACTGCTTTGTAAAAAAAAAATGAATGTTTTAGGGGTGCCTGGGTGGCTCAGTTGGCTGAGCGTCCGACTTTGGCTCAGGTCATGATCTCAGGGTTCGTGGGTTTGAGCCCCGGGTCAGGCTCTGTGCTGACAGCTAGCTCAGAGCCTAGAGCCTGCTTTCGAGTCTCTGTCTCCCTTTCTCTCTGACCCTCCCTGGCTCATGCTGCCTGCCTCTTTCTCTCTCTCTCTCTCTTTCTCTTTCTTTCTCTCTCAGAAATAAATAAAACATTAAAAAATTTTAAAAAATGAATGTTTTAAACTTGACAAACAGATAGTTGGTAAAAATCTCCCACTTATTCTAATACAGGCAGATATATCAAATTTAGGGTTTTTAAAAAATTTTTACAGGTGATAGGATCTTGATAAGTTTGCCAAGAAAAAGATCAAATTATAAAGAGGAAAGGAAAAGATTTCTTCCTTTCACAATACACTTGTTTGATTATAGAAGAGATCAGGAAGATAAACTTGGCACTGCAGAAAATGCAGTCTGTTCCCTTAAAAGCAAACTTTTTTGTCCCTTGAAGAAACCAATTTACATCTTTAAATATTATATTCATAATTTACCCTTTTAGCACCCTTCATCACCCTACTTTGTTTTTCTGATATTTTATTTTTAAATTTTTATTTTTTTAATATTTAAGTCTAAGTTGGTTGACATGTAGTGGAATAATAATTTCAGGAATAGAATTGAGTGATTCATCACTTACATATAACGCTCAGTGCTCATCCCAACAAGTGTCCTCCCTAATGCCCATCACCCATTTAGTCTGTCCCCCCACCTAACACCCTGCCAGCACCCCTCAGTTCTTTGCATTTAAGAGTCTCTTAGGGTTTATCTCACCCTCTGTTTTTATATTATTTTTGTTTCTCTTCCCTTATGTTCATCTATTTTGTATCTTAGATTCTACAGATGAATGAAATCATATGATAGTTGTCTGTCTCTGACTAATTTCATTTAGCATAGTACCCTCTAGTTCCATCCATGTTGTTGCAAATGGCAAGATTTCATTCCTTTTGATGGCTGAGTAATATTCATTTGCATATATATACTACTACTTCTTTATCCATTCACCTCTCGATGAACATTTGGGCTCTTTGTATACTTTGGTTATTGTTGATAGTGTTGCTATAAACATTGGGGTGCATGTACCCCTTTGAATCAGCACTCCTGTACCCTTTGGATAAATATCTAGTAGTGCAATTGCTAGGTCATAGGGTAGTTCTGTTTTTAGAGGAACCTCCACACTGTTTTTCCAGAGTGGCTGTACCAGTTTGCATTCCCACCATCAGTGTAAAAGGGTACCTCTTTCTCTGCATCCTTGCCAACCTCTGTTATTGCCTGACTTATTAATTTTAGCCATTCTTACTGGTTTGAGGTGATATCATTGTGATTTTGATTTTGATTTGTATTTCCTTGATGATGAGTGATGTTGAGCATCTTTTCATGTGTCTGCTAGTCATCTGGATGTCTTCTTTGGAAAAGTGTTCATGTCTTTTGCCCATTTGTGAAGTGGATTATTTGTTTTTTGGGTGTTGAGTTTAATAAGTTGTTTACATATTTTAGATACTAACCCTTTATCTGATACGTCCTTTGCAAATCTTTTCCCATCCTGTCAGTTGCCTTTTGGTTTTGCTGATTGCTTCCTTTGCTGTGCAGAAGCTTTTTATCTTGATGAGACCCCAATAGTTCATGTTTGCTTTTGTTTCCCTTGCCTCTGGAGACATGTCTGGTAAGAAGTTTGTACGGCCGAGGTCAAAGAGGTTGTTTCTTGTTTTCTCGTCTAGAGTTTGATGGCTCCCTGTCTTACGTTTCAGCCTTTCATCCACTGGGAGTTTATTTTTGTGTATGGTGTGAGAAAGTGGTCCAGGTTCATTCTTCTGCATGTTGCTGTCCAGTTTTCCCAACACGATTTGCTAAAAATACTGTCTTTTTTCCCATTGGATATTCTTTCGTGCTTTGTCAAAGCATACCTTTGTGGGTCCAATTCTGAGTTCCCCATTCTGTTCTATTGATCTATGTGTCTGTTTTTGTGCCAGTCGCATACTGTCTTGATGATTACAGCTTTGTAATAGAATTTGAAGTTCATAATTGTGATGCCTCCAGCTTTGGTTTTCTTTTTCAGGACTGCTTTGGTTATTCACGGTCTTTTCTGTTTCCACACAAATATTAGGATTGTTGGTTCTAGCTCTGTGAAGATTGCTGGGGTTATATTCATAGGAATTGCATTGAACGTGTAGGTTGCTTTGGGTAGTATCAACAGTTTAACAATACTTGTTCTTCCAATCCATGAGCATGGAATGTTTTTCCATTTTTTTTGGTGTCTTCTTCAATTTCTTTCATAAGCTTTTGTATATATTTTCACCTCTTTGGTTGGGTTTATTTCTAGGTATTTTATGGGTTTTGGTGCAATTGTAAATGGAATCGATTTCTTGATTTCTCATTTTGCTGCTTCATTATTCGTGTATAGAAATGCAATGGGTTTCTGTATATTGACTTGATCTCCTGTGAG